CTCCATATCAGCTCCACTGCTGCAGCTTATAAAAATAGCTTCACCTTCTAGGTCTGTTGCAAAGAAATTGCATCTCAGAACTGGTAGAACATCTGTTATGCCAATACCACTTGGTAGGTCAGTATCTGAAAATGTATCTAAGCTGTATTAAATTTTCATCTCTGGTCCTGCAGTTGCAGTGATTCTTTCTTCTTTGCAGACAGAGTTTTGTGAGTATTTGAATTAAGTATTTCAAATTGCAAGATCAGAAATCAGAAGCTAAACTTGCCTGACATACTTGTCATATAGAAAAAACTTTGAAGTAGATACAAACTGCAAAGCAAAAATTATATCGTATGGGTGACTTGAGAAATACAGTATTTTTTTAATGCTATGAATGAAATTTATTTTTTTTTTCAGGTACTGAGTTTAGGGGAAAAATGCAAAAAATTTGGAAAAAACCCCATTCCCTTCCTGCTTTTTTTTTTTTGTGTGTGTGTCTCTAGACTAAAACTGTGATGTTATATTTTCAAGCAAGTCTTTCTGAAATGTACCTCTTAGACTAAACTAATGTCAGTAAACAGCAAAGTAAAGCTATGCAAATTAATTTTAGTATACACAGGTAATATAATATCAGTATATAAAACTAGATAAATTAATTGAAGGAAATATGCATGCTTGGTAAATAGAGAAAATATTATATTTTCAGAATGCAATATAAATTTTTTTTTAAATGCTGCATGATTGCAATTATTCATTGGAATTAAAGAAATAAAAATAATCTAGTTTTATGTTTTAAAAATTCTTTTGATCAGCCTTGTGGAGTGGAAGTCCTCAGTTATCTGTGTGAAAATTTGATTAATTCAAATTGACAGACAGGTTTATCAGCAGCTGTCAGCTCAGTGTGTCTGTCAATGACTGAGAAAGAAAAGAAAGCAAATGTATCAGATAATATATTATTATGCTATTGCATAATAGTTTCATTAACAAAAATCTAGACAATTAGTACTTGATTATTAGTGGTCATGAAAAGACGGATTGAAAGTGTGGTGGTCATGAGCCTCAGTATTAAAATTAGGGTTTTTTGCAGCTTTTGTCCATTTTTCTGATCTTCTTTCTCTAATGATGACTCTGGAGTTATTAGAACATTAAAGAAAAAATAAAATTATAAAGATTTTTGGCATTACCACCCGTTAAGGAAAAAAAAATAGCGCTCATCTCAAATCAGACAGCTCTCATTTACCAGCTGAGAGTTTAGAAGTATCTTCTTCTTTAATGTGGTCTCATGACCGCTGCTCTGTTCAGTTACTCTGTCCTCACAGGAAGGTCAGGACCTGGTATCTGAATGAATTCCAGGAAAAGTAATTTCCAAGTAAGGAAGAGAATTTAAGATTCTACATGAAAAAGGAGTGATGAACACAATTACTGCTTCAGTAGAATCAATCATACAGAGCTTTCAAATCAGCTCTTTCATCCAATAAACCCACATTTTTAACAAGTTAATTACAGCTCCAGTCTCAAGCATCTCATAAGGCATCTAAGATGGATAAGCCACTGGTGAGCTGATGTGCAGCATCAGCTCATACAGAGCTTTCAAATCAGCTCTTTCATCCAATAAACCCACATTTTTAACAAGTTAATTACAGCTCCAGTCTCAAACATCTCATAAGGCATCTGAGATGGATAAGCACTGGTGAGCTGATGTGCAGCTTTAGTAAGGAGCAGGTCTTTGCTGGTAGCGTTCCATGTGATTTTTGAGGTCAAATTCCCTAAGCAAAACAGGGAAATACACAGTTCTTCAGGAAGCACATCTGTTGAATTGCCTACATTCATCTCTTGTGACTGGGAGAGCTCCCAGTTCTCTTGGTACCGCCAAGAGAAGAAAAGGAAAAAAACACCTCATGAAAACTCTGAAAACAAAGAACATTGTCACTGCACCTCACGTTGTGCTACTTCTCTGTGGGGGATCCATTTGTTCATTTTCTCCCACGTCCAAATACAAGTCACTCTCAAAGGAGGCATTGATTTATGAACAAGATATAGATGACATGAGAAAAAAAATGTGGGGTGTTTTTTTTTGTTTGTTTGTTTGGTTTTTTTTTACTGTGGTGGCTAAGATCATGGCCTGCTGGCCACTATGTAGCAATGTAAAATAAAACTCAAGTTTTTAGCACTGAGATGAATGAGCAGCTTCTATTCCATCTGCAAAGAAGCAAATGCACCAATCTCTTGAACTCCTTGGCTAGTGACTGAACCAAGCCCTGATGGAGTGGCAGTCCTGGGGCTTTGTAGCACTGTACACAGTGACCTCTGTGTTATTTGAATGTGCTTGCACAATTCCTGTCTTTTTCCAGCAGCTTTTTGGTCTGTGGTGTTAGGTCCTTGAGTGACCTTGCTTGCTCTTTGGGCTGCCCAAGCTGCTGGCTGCTGTGCAGCAAAGCCTGCAGTGCTGGTGACAGATTTCCAGCACAGATTTCTGATGTACTGGTGTGGCTTTCTGGGTATATCTCTCTTTCTTTCTCTCTCACTCAGAAAGGCTGAGGGGAGCACTGAATAGAGGATTTTGACTAACTTCAGCTCTGCTAATGCTTCAAAAGTGTAGATGTGAAGTTATTTATATCATATAGGAATACAGAACATTTTCTCCTTGTAGGTAAGGAGATTTCACATGGTGCTTTGAAATGAAAGGCTTTACTTAACCTGCAAGATCCCAGTCATTAAACACAACCAAGGTCACATCTGCAGAATGGGAAAAAAGAACTTTTTAATAGAACATCTACTCACTAAGCAAAGGCAGAATAAAACCAGCAATAGCTTGTTGCAGAATGAAAGTTCTAATGAAAATGGCATGTGCATAGGTAACAGAACAAAGTATGCAACATCTACTCACTAAGCAAAGGCAGAATAAAACCAGCAATAGCTTGTTGCAGAATGAAAGTTCTAATGAAAATGGCATGTGCATATGTAACAGAACAAAGTCCTCAGATAAACTTCTTCCACGTGCACATTTATTTAATAAAACACTTGTCTCTGTTAATACAGGAAACAATACAATAAAGCTAAGTAGACCCCAAAATATCCAGGACTTCTCCAAATTAGCAGGTGTAACCTGGAAAAAAAAGAGCAGAGCTCAGTCCTCCTTCTCCCTCAGCACTGACAACTCCAGCTCAAGGGTTAGCAGTGAGACATATTTGGAAGTTTGAGAGGTTTTTTTAGTTTTGCTCCTGGAAAGAAAATTTTAATTTGTTTCTGTTACATATAGAGCCTAAGTAGGACCTGGCTTAAAATGGCCAAGAGTTAAAAGGTTTGAGGCAGGTATCCATGTGTGTGTGTGTGCACTGGCATGGCAGGGATAGAAGCAGATCTCTGTGCCTGTGTGAGTGTGTTGGAGTCCTAGATGCTGAGAATATTTAAATATTATATTTATATTTATATTTTAATATATATATGTTATATAATGTTATAGATATATATGCATGTATACATATGTGTATATATGTTACATATACAACATATTTATAATATATATTTATTATATATAGATATATGTATGTATATATGTGTATATATTTTATATGTATATAACTTATGTATAATATTATATATATATTTATAATATATGTATTTATTTAATTAGATATGTGTGATGCTTTGTATACTCAGCTTGCCATTCACAATTACTCAAAATTAGAAATTAATTTTATTCATTTCCTCAGACACAAAGACTGGCTGCAAGGATCTGAGAATGCACCTCTGAAATAACATGTGGACATCTAAGCCCTATACTGTAAACTTCATCTAGGGTCTGGCGTTCAGAAGCACTTCAAAACAGATGTGCAACAACATTCTGCATTATACAACTGTAATCATCCTTACTTCAGTCAGCATTAAAGATTTAATTTTAAGGAATTCCTTTGAGGAAGGAAAAAATATAAGTAATTCAAAGGTCGAATAATTCAATTACCTTTATGCATTTCTGTTTCCAGGAAAATTTCCTTACATGTCCTTTTTTTGCTTATTTATATTTTACCAAAAGAATGTGCAGGTCCAGTATCATTAGGTAGAATCCTTTATTATCTGTGGAAGTTCAAGAGCCTGGTGTCAAAAAGCTGGAGTTTCTTGCAAGAGAGTTCTTTTTATGTAATGACTTCCCTACCTAACAAACCTTGAACCATTTAGCATTGGAAGCATTCTCATTTTTCAGATAACAAAAATTCATCTGCAGTATTTTCTCCATAGCCGTGTAATGAGGCTTGTAGAAACATGTCACACAGAAATAGAATGAATAAATCAAATTGTGCAGGAAAAAAAGAAAAACCCTCGAGGATCTGGCTGTAGAAATGACAAAGAACAGGGAGCTCTGCAGCTCTGTTGATTGGCACTTGAAACCCACTTTTTTTCTCTGCTCCTTAGGAGAATGTTTTAGGTAAATTTCCTCTTGCCATTGTATTGCCAGGGCAGGTTAAGGATTCTGTGAAGAGATGCTTGGAAATGTCCAAAGCTCATTTGGAATGGTATATTGGAGAAGTTATGGAGGTTGGTTTTCCTGAGGCTTCACCTACTTTATAGGTGATTGTTTTTCACCTTTTAAAAGGCATTGTAAACACAAAAAAAAAAAAAAAAATTGCTCATAATAGACTTCCAGGATAAAGAATCCACCTTGGCAAATTCGTGAGTGCTGGGTTATCAGTGATATTTCGCCCAACTGGCAGGCAGAATGATGAGGAGGACTCCATGATATCAGAAGGCTAATTAATTACTTTGTTATATATATTATACTACATCCAAACTGAAACTGAACAAGAACTCAACTGAAAAAAATCTCATGACTGTCCTGACCAACCTCCAGGACACAGCTTGCAGAGATTGGCCAAGAAAACAAAACACTCACACCAGAATCCAGTCAAGCAAATTCCTTCAGGTAAATAGTCTTCCAACACATTCCACATGTTCCAAAACACAGGAGCAGCAAATGAGATAAGAATTGTTTCGATCTCTGTGCTTCTCCAGGAAAAACCTGAGAGAGAGAATTGTGTGTCTTTCTGTTCAGAGAATGTGAATGCCACACTGGGTGACTCCTCCTCAGGAAGGGGAAGGGAATCAAGGAGTACTGATCTGTGGTTTATCTTTGGTGCAGAGTTTGCCAGGACAAATGTCAACGAGGAAGCATCAACCTTTGTTTCCAGCAGCTGTCCACGATCACTCTGTTTTAATGAATCTGAGCTGAAATACAAATATTGAGCAATTTCCTCGCTCTACCAGGAAGGCTGGAAAAAGTGGGGGGTAGAGTGATGCTTCCATATGGTCATGGTGTGCAGCAGAGCTGCTCAACTGCACTTTAAAGGAGGTGGGTAGGATGGAAATGAGAAGGAAATGACCCGGAGCTATGGAAGAATTAGCTCCAAGCACATCTCGATGCATTCCAGCTCTGAACATGGCAGGTTTGGCCGTGCTTCCCACACCTCTGAGCACTGAGCTGCCTCTCCTGCAGTGAAAGGGAGCTGGCAGCCAGGGCTGCTGTGCCTGGCTGCTCCACAGGTCACTGGCAGCAGCAGCAGTAGCTCGGGGAGCCTTCTGATCCACAGGCTATTTTTCTGAGATGGTCTTACAGTTGTTTAAATATACACCAATCTTTTGGTGTTTGCATGGTTACAATTATCATTAATGCTTTACTATCAAGTCTTGCCACTGCAAACTTTGTTTTGAGTAGTATTTGATTTAATATATGCTGAGATGGTCTTACAGTTGTTTAAATATATTTTAAAAGTACATGGGAAAATCAGTAATAAAAAAGCTGCACCCAATCTTTTGGGATTTGCACAGTTACAATTATCATTAATACTTTACTATTAAGTCTTGCCACTGCAAACTTTGAGTAGCGTTTGATTTTATATATCAGGTGACATTCCATGGGGGTTACAAGAAAATTTGCCTGCTGTTACAGCCAGTGGGAACAAAGGAAATCAACCCAAGGCTTGAGTTCTGCACATCAGTACAGAGGTTCTGCCACTGGAAAACATATTCAGGATTTTTTTTTTCTGGTTTGGATGCTCAAACAACGTGAAGTTGCACATGTAATTGTATGTGTAGTAGAGGACGTATAATTTTTCACAACTTAAACTTTTGGTCATATTTCATTTAGACTTTTTGCTTTTAGGTAGGTTCTGAAACTCCTTTGACAAAAGAATATCAGGGCTTGTGCAGAATTATGTGGTTTTATGCACATGCCACTATCTGTATTTTAATGTGTTCATTTTCTGAGCAGTAAACCCGGCATTTCATATCCATAAATTTTAAACTGGAAAAAAAAAATAAAATAATGCTTTACTTTCTCTAAAGCTTCAGTTAATGAAAGGTAAAAATGGAAAGCTGCAGCTCCAGACATGACAATTGCTGGAAACTGTTTTATGCAAAAAGCAAGATTCTTTGTGGAAAATTGGAAAATTGCAAATGGGTACTTTTTTATTTTTTTTCCTAAGGGATGAACACTGAAAAAACTCCTAACACTTCAAGTGACTAATCACTGCCTACATTGCAAAAACATATCACTTATTGTGAGTCAATCAAACAGATTGACCATTTCATGGTGTTTACTTAACAAGGAACTTTTTATAGGTCCTCATGCAGATATAGAGGTTTGTGTCATCTGTGAGACAAATTGTGAAGAATTGGATAGTGAGGGCAAAAATTCAGTGAGTTATTTGATACAAGACAAATAGAGTGGTTTATTGACCATTTCATGGTGTTTACTTAACAAGGAACTTTTTATAGGTCCTCATGCAGATATAGAGGTTTGTGTCATCTGTGAGACAAATCGTGAAGAATCATAAGTGGATGGTGAGGGCAAAAATTCTGTGAGTTATTTGATACAAGGCAAATTGGGTTGTTTCATCTTGAAGCTGGAAAAGAAATTATGTATTTCATATGATACCTGGAATCAATAGAAACCTGATGGGATCAATGATACCTGATCAATGGAAATGGAGAAAACCACATTTAGAATGGAACTTCTTTCTGCGCTAATTGTACACTGAGATTAGGTTTTTACCATTTTTAATTGGAGGATAGAACTTGATGTTTTGGTGGGGGGGAAATGTTTGGGTTTGGGAAATGGAGAAAACCACATTTAGAATGGAACTTCTTTCTGCGCTAATTGTACACTGAGATTAGGTTTTTACCATTTTTAATTGGAGGATAGAACTTGAGGTTTTGGTGGGGTGGAAATGTTTGGGTTTGGTTTTTTTTGGGGGGGTGGTGTTTTGTTCGTTGGTCTTTTTTCCCCATTTTTGCTTTGTTTTTACTTCAAGTAATGCAAGTTTAACATGTCACATTCTGTATCTTTATTATTGTCTTAAAACTCTACATCTTTATACTTTTCCACATAATTTCTTTTGTTCAACAGCAGCACATGGATTGTCCCCAACTGGTGTTTACACAGAAAGTTACTTTTCCTTTCCCCTTCCTTCTTCTAAACCATCTAATCCCACTCTTCAGAGTCCTTATTTTCACTTACAGTTTTCATTTCACTTAAACTATTTTGGGACACTTTGATTTAAACAGCCTCTCTGAGTAGCACTGCCAGACATACAAGCAAAAGGAAAAAAATCTGTGATTTTTTTTTGTGACTTGCTAATACAAAATACTTAAGGACTTCAGAATACATGTATATTAATAAACAATTCAGGCTTTAAGGATTAACATGAATATGAAAATGTATAAATTTACTGTAGATGAAGTATTCCCCTTTTTATTTTTTACATATATTTTTTGCTAACAAATGGTTTAAAAATAATAATGTTCAAAAGGAGCACTTCATGTTCTTTTTAAAATTAGTTTGGACATTGAGGAGTTCCAAAATGTGTCTCTAATGTTCTTCCTATAAAGCAGCTTAATAAGATGTCACAATAAACATGTAAAATTAGATTTATTTTATCAAGAGGCAAAAATAACCTCATTACACAGAAAGCTTCAACAAACTCAAGCTTGCTTAATATATAATCCAGTAGTTTAATTTGTAACCTGATTATTGCTCTTAACAGAATTCATTAGTACCGCAGAGTCCTATAAGTTGTTTGAATGATACTTGTTATAATTAATATTTAGTCTTTAATACTGTTCAGAGTTTCCCAAACTTTCAGAATGCCTCTTGTAATGGCTTTTTTTTCCCTAATTTGCCAGCTGTTCTAACTTCACTGCCACAAGGATACAGGGAGGCTTCACAGATGGAATTTGGCCTTGCACTGATTAAATAACCATTTGTCTTCTTCGACAGTAGAAGATGGGAATGCCCTGTCTGAACAACGGTGCTTCCTCTCATTCCCAGGTAGGTTTTATTCTATATATCTGAATGTGCCCTGTATCCATGTTTATGTCATTTAACTACAGTGGGCTGGTTTGGGCTGGGATAGGTTTGATTTTGTTAATCATTCCCAGTACAAAGCCGAGCCACAGCCCCATACTGTCTTGCTGTGAACAAAAGGAACTTTTTCTCAGCCAAACCCAGCATGTGTGTACTTGGAATGGTTGTCTCCAGGGAATGGAACTGGGGCATAAATTCTGATTCATTGCTGAATTTCAGGGAGCAGAATTGTTAAGCCATGGGCAAATGAAGGTAGTAAGTGTACACTCACCCAGATAGGCGTGTGATTTGTATCACTGGTGTTCATACAGTCAAGTTCTAAAAGTCCAGAACTCCTCAGGTCTAACTCTGGATACTTGTGGTTTGCTCAGCTTCAAAGTTTGAGCTTAAAAGATCAGATCTAAGCTACTGTCTCTGTATCATTGCTTAGAAACAGGGAACGAACAAACCCCCATTCCTGTGACTGCTGCTCTGCTCCTGCAGCTTCAAGTGGAGTGGCTTCCTGCATTTCTGCTTGCTCTGCTCCTTAAGAACTGCTCATCAGCCCAGCATTATCCCTTTGCCTGTGCTGTTTTTCAGACTGGAGTGCCCTCCAGCTGCTGAGAGCCTTGCTGCCTCTGGCTTGGATTGGTTAGGATGGGGCAGCACTGCTTCCCTGCAGGGCTTGAGCTTCGTGTCCTCACCACAGCACTTGGTGTTGTCATGAGTGGTGGGGCTGACCAATATGCAAGCACTTTAGGATGCATCCTCAGCTTGGTGCTTGATGCAGCTGGTGTCCTAGATGCCTGGCTGACCAATATGCAAGCACTTTAGGATGTATCCTCCTCCTTGATGCTTGCTGCAGCTGGTGTCCTAGATGCCTTGAGAAGGCTCACTAAAGCAGTACAGAATGTGGAAAATAGAAAAGCTGAAACCTAAGGCGTCGCACTCATGGGAGTTGTAAAAACTCATAAAGAAAGTGCTGTGTAGGCAACAGAGTTGCCTTCTCCAAAGCAAGGTAAAGGGGAAAATCTGAGGGGATGCCATGGGTGGTCATGCATATACTTATATTTCAGATAGATATCCAAAAAATCTGCTTTCCCTCATTGGTACAGCACAGATGCAGAAATTCTTTTTTACAACTAGAGGACCTAGGGACACAACTTTTACCTGAGGTGGTGTGAAATTGAGAGCAAGGAACAGGTGCCAAATTCTCCCATTCCAGTGGTGGTTCTCATCCAGTAGGTCCTGTGTTAGACATGAAACATCATGGCACTGTTAGTTTTCTTGCTGCATATAGCCCATTAAAAATTTACTTCAAAAGGAAGTGGCACTTTAAGTTATTTTGGTTTTAACAAAAACAGATGAAGGAATACAATTTGGAATTTATAAAGCCAAGTGTATTTTCAGATTTCACAATGAAATACTTTGTGCATCAACACAAGAGCACGAGGAATTTATAAAGCCAAGTGTATTTTCAGATTTCACAATGAAATACTTTGTTTGTGCATCAACACAAGAGCACAAGGCTCAACTCACAATTCAGGTATTGAGACATCCAAGCCTCTGAGGTTGAGTTTTCACTAGCAGCAAACAAAAGAAATCTTTCAGCATCATTTGAGATAACCACAACTGATTCGAAAATGCTCAGAAATTCTAAATGTTATTAGACACTTACAGTAGTTTAAAATAATTTAAAGTTGACAGTAGTTAAAGTCCAAATTAAGTGGACTCAGGGTTTCATTCAGCACATGGAAGAAACTCAATTTCAGGTTCAGCGGAACACTTTAGCCTGCTGCTTTTGTTTTCCTTTGCACAGATAGAGGCAGTTTGAAAGGTAAAAGCAGCACTCAACATCAGCTCTGCTTAGCAGGGAACTGAACTTGGACCTCAACTCTTTCTTAGACTGTCTTATAACAGGTCCTGTAGAATACAGGGTTGCCTATTTTTCCATTTAAGTAAATTCTCATTTTCATTGGCGTACAGGAAGCCTGATAGGAGCAGGAATGTGCTCCAGTTAATTTGTATGATTTGATATATAGGTTTTCATAAGGTTCAAACAAGCCACGGGAGGTCAAACTGTGCACTGCTGAGAATGAGTGTACTTGAGTTGATAAGATGAGCAGTAACATTTCTCCACAGTGTAGAAGGAGGATGCTATCAGTGCAGCCCTGCCATTATAGCAGCTTGAGTGCTCACTGCTGCTGAGGGTGTTTTTTTCCCTTTACCTCTCTCATTCCCAAGATGACAGCAGCAGCCACATTCAGCAGCTCTTATCTCCAGGCTGCAGATGGGGAAGAGAAGAGTGTGGTATGCTAAGGGTGAAATTTTCAGCAGAGATTAGGAAGTTACTTAGGTGCCTAACTCCTGTTTTCAGGAGTGATACAGGGCCTTTTTAAAGCAGCTGTTCTGTTCACAAGAAACTAATCTACTTAGTTACTGCAAGAAACATGCAGCTTTATATTAATCATACAACAAAGAGGATGAAGGGAAAGTTCCACAGAACAGACAGGAAACAAGAGTCAGGGAAGAAAGCAGCTCTATCCCTTATCTCTTTGGGCAACTGGCTGACTCTCTGTTGACCCCTGTCTTATTCCCAGTTTGTGAAGAAAAATATATTTATGAAGTTGTTTTTTTTAATTTCAGATGGCAAAGGTTGCTTTATTTTCTATTATCTTTTACTCTCTGGGTCTCTCTGTTCTGTAGCTTCTCCTGGTGTCTGGTGCTGCAAGAAGGCTGAAATCCTCCTGACTTCCTTCTGAACATCGTTAGTAAAAGTAAGGGACTCTTGAACTCCCTGTCACTTCATAAGCAAACCCTGTCCTGACGTTTCCTTGGAGTTCAAACATTAGTACAATGCTCTTTGAATAACAAGGATCCAGTTTCCCCCAGAATAATGCACAGTTTGCTGGAGAGAGCAGATAGCTCATGAAACAACTGATGCAGATCAAGTTCTTTTGGCTTAACTCTTTCTTTGAAGTGATCCACACAGACTGATTTTGAAAAGCCTGTTTTACAGTTCTCTCACCATCTTGGTTTAAGATTAAATCTCAATGAGTTCTTGTCATCCTTGCTACTCAAAACTGGTGAAGGTCTGCTCTTGCCAGAGCTCATGGAGTTAGACATCATCTAAAAAAGGAATTGACCTGTCCAGACTGTTTTGAACTATTTATTCACCTCACTCTTAAAAAAAAAAGTAGAATCTGGATGGAACAGAGATGTTTGATAATATTTTGTTCCATTCTTATTTCAGGGGAGCTTTAGAGACTGGGTATTGCCTGTGACTGACCCTCTAGAAGAGCATATTTAAGAAAGATATGTCTGAGCTCTCTGCTGGAGATTGGTTGGTTGTCAAGTCCTTTCTGTGTCCTCCTAAGCCCCTGGAAGATGCAGCTGCCACTAATAGAGACATGCAGAGTCTATCTCATGGCAAAATTCAGGAGAACAAAGGGTCATCAGGATTAAAGGCTGCCAAATCTAACACTGCACATGCTCTTTCTCCAGCTCTGTGCACTTATCAGCCGTGGCCTTCACACACACAAAGCCATGTGGCTGAAGTGCAGATAACTCATCTTGTCTGGAGAGTTCAAGATGTCCCACAGCCCCTGTTGGTGTCACAGCTCTACTCTGGTGCTCCTGCCCTTGCCCCAGGAGCTCACAGCACATGCTGCTGCCTTTGAGCCAGAAAAGAAGATAGAGAGGTGAAAACACACCCTTTTTTGGCTATTTTTCATGTTATGCTACAAAACTCTCCAAGCTACACAGGATGAACAAGACAAGATTCATGTTTTCCCAGATTTATAGATGCCAAACCGTGTTCCATGTGACTGACATTCATTCATGTGCCATGAGCTTGTCTTTTATGGAAACAAGTTTCATCTTTCCCTTGGTCCTGCAGCCTGACTCTGTGCTTTGCTCCTGGAGGAGCACCCAATGTTTTCTGACACTGAGTCCCACCTGCCTTCTGTTTTCCCAGTCCCACCCCTTATTATGCAGATATTCAGCATCACTTCTGGTTGAGACCATTGTCAGTCCTCTCTGCAGCAGCCTGGAGAGGTGGGATTTCCATGGCTGTGTGAAAAATCACAGAGGTTAATGACAGCCTAGTGAGAACACAGCCCTTTCCTTAGAGCACTCCATTTCCTTCACTTCTTCTCCAACCTAGCTTGCTGTATGCAGTAAATTTGCACAGGTAAAACAAAGTTGTCTTCTTCTGGGCTGCTTGTCTCTATCAGTTTCCTCTGAGGTAATAAACAATTCTGATTTCAGGTGTTTCAGCTACACTTCATTCTCCATGTGACCCCTGAAATTCACATTGTGCCCTCAGCCCTTCTTTAGAAGAGCTGAATAAACACAGAGGAGTTCTTGAGTGTGTGCTTTGTATGGAGCTGAGATCGAAAATTCCTTGTGGGTTTATATTTTTGCTAAAGACTCTTTTTTTTTTTTTTTTTGCTTTGGGGGTATTTGCAAGAGGGAAGAGATGACTTAATCAGTGAGTCAGTCCTGAATTTAGAAATTCTTCTCAATTCATCCACCTATTGCTTTCCACATGTAGCCTAATCACACAGCAGCTGAAATTTCTGTACCTGTATCCATCATCCCTCTGCTACAGGCAAGAGCCAACCTTACACCCCTTTAGCATCTGGCATGTATCAACTCCTCTGTGTGTTTCAGCTTTGAAACCTAAAATACTCAGAGCTTTTTTTCACCTTTAGGGCCTTGAGTTCATACCCTTTAGCTTGAAATATTCTTTGATGTGTGTTTTAGCATTTTCTGCCTAAATACCCTTGCTTGAGGCATTTAGTTATATTTGATGCTGAGACATTTTAATTTAAATAACTGATTAGATGTTAACTCTCCTGTGACAGAAGCACACATTAGGAACCAGGGGCTGCTCTATTATGCTTCTGCATTTTCATTCCTTTGAGCTGTTCTTACTATGGGGGTGCAAATCTTAAGTCATTCAGTGCTTACAGGGTTGCTGTTAATCATTCTGCTTTAAGGTAGCACTTCTAATTCTGTTTACATATGCAAAGAGGTGCCTGAGCTTTTACCTTCTGTTGCTACAGAAAGTGTTACAGGAAGATAAGGGAGTCTTAAAACTCAAACATGTATCTCTCCTTTAAAAATCTGACTCCAAGAGCTTGTGACCCGCAAAAGAGCATCCCTACACTTCCAAAAAATGTGACAGTGTGTACATTTTGTGGTAATAAAAGATTGACACTTTTCACAATTTTCCACAATTTGGAAATTACCTTTAATTCTTTAATATGTGATTGCTGAGAGGTCACAGTCACTCTGGGTAACTCCAAGGTGTTTTAAAGAGCAATTTAAAGAAGAACCTGTTTAAAGAACAGGTACTTCCAGAGATGACTGAACTCTCTCAGCATCTCTGCTGCCTTTGGTACTTTGATTAGGGAGGAACCAGTGCTCTTGAATTGTGACTTATCACTCATGCTTAAACTCAGCTGGAATAATGTCAGACCTAACAGATTCATCAAAGTATGGAAATCCAAGACTCAGGTGGGATAAAGTCAGACCAAACAGATTTATCAAAGTGTGAGAATCCGTGTATGATGTTTGGAAATGAACTTGGAATGAAATAAATCTCCATTCAGAAATGTGCTCCCCACCATATCTGAATAATAAACTGGTGCATGATAAATGTGCCTTGTTAAAAGGTTATTGCACAATACTTCAGCATTCCATAATTGAGGTTTTCTCATTTTTTTCCCCCAAACATGAATAACTGCCTGCATTAACATACAGTTTTGCATGCATGGTTCTGATAGGGTTTCCTGAAAAAATCCCTGAGAAATACTTGACTGACCAGACAGATTGCTTTGCAGTGATGTGATGTGCCGTCAGTCTCCTGAGGAAGGAGACTTTTGACTGATAGCTAGAGGACAGTCACATACTGTCAAATGTTTGTCACATGAAAATGGATACGGGGAAGGGTTGCAAAAATTATCTAAAGTAGAATCTAAGAGCAGGTGTTGAGTTTGTGGAGAGACAGAAGCAGAGTTATTAACACAGATATATTTCTTACCTGATAAAGTACTGTTGTTTCGTTGTGTATTAATTTTCTTTCACTCATCGCATGGCTTCTTTAAAAAGAGCAAAAAAAAAAGATTAAAAAGTTAGTTTTAGAAGTTTACAGAAATCTAGTTTTCATCCAATATTATGTTTAAAAAAGTTATTTTCCTGTATGTAAAATATGCAGAATACATTAAAACTGCAAAGCATATGTATTCCAAATGTTGCCATACTTCTTTAAAGTGATTTATAGACAGCCTTGCCAGTTACATTTTTCTTCTTTCCCCTTTCCAAAAGAGAAATAGCACAGGCAAAAAAAAAATCTAAAAACTCTTTTTCTGGATAGACAGGCATTGTTTACTTGTGCTAGGTAACTTTCCTTTTTTTTTTTTTCCTGTGTGATTTTTCCTAGAGGAGGCACATGTAGCATGCTTTACCTGAGACTGTTGTATAATATCTGCACAAAACCATTGACTTCAATGAAAGACATATTTACCACAAGTAATTCCTTACAAGAATGCTCAAAACAGCAGAGTTGGAAACCTAAACAGTAAGTTCTTTGAGGCTCCTTCCTCACTGAAAAATGCAGGAAATTTCTGGCGGGATGCAAATTAATCAGAGAGCACTCTCTGTTATCTAGGAGAAGAAAAAAACTAAATTCTGAAATGCCAAGAAGAATCCTGCCCTCAGGGTTTCTTCCTTCCAAATTTGATTTCTTGTTGTTTCAGATAAACTTAGAATAAGTATCTAAGCTATTGGATGTCCATAAAAGGTCATGCTTTTGAATGCATTTGATATTTACAGTATTTTTGTACGTGGTTTGGTTTTTCCTTTGCTCTTTAGCACTGCTGATATGCCTCGTGCATCGCTCTGAGCACACTAATCCACACAATGGAAATGACATATTTCTGATGTCAGTAATTGCATTGTTCAATATCAGGTGCAATGATCTCTGGAAATATTTCTGCTTAAATACCAACTACTACTCTGAAATGTCAAAATTTTAATTAGTTTCTGTTTAGACAACTCACACCAAGTGTACACAAAGTAGATCTTGTTTCTGTACCGTACAGAAACATTCCAAACCCCAAGGAATTCTGCAGGAGGCTTTTCAAAGCAGGTAAGATCAACCCATTTTTGCAGTTTCAAGACATTCAGTGCTTTCTCTTCTTCTCTAATTCGGGTAATTTTTTCACGTGGCTGTGATTTTCAAGTCCAGTGGATAAAAATTAAAACCAATGAGAGGTTTATTTGTGCACTTGGAGGAGCTCAACGCTGTGCAATTGTTTGGAAGTTTGGATTGCCTATTCATGGCAAATAGCATCTGTGCTCAATTACACTCCATCCATCAGGAGATAAGGCTTTCAGAAGTAATGAAAGCATCTAAGAGATGGTTTGCACTAGAGAGTAATGATTTCTCAAAAGGGCAGACAATTGGGCTGATTCACAGGTACTGCACAAGGGAAAATGCTCCAGATGAAATGGAAATTATTTCATGAAACATCTCAGGATTTCACAGAAAGAAGGGGTGTTTTATTACCAATTATTCTCTATGAAATGAATTTGGTAACACCATCATCTAAAAAGGAAAAGTGAAAGGTTGCTAAATTGGATATTTAGATTTTGCTAATGAGAATGGAAGGAGTTGATGAATGTTGAATCACTCCTTGGCAGTTTTTAAACAAAGATTATCATTCATTCTCTTTTTTTGAACTGACAGATGATGTTTTGTGTTGAAATGAAGCTTCATGACTTTTGATCAAGGCTGCTGAAAATAGCATTCTGCTGCCTAAACTTCATATTCTGTTCTAACACATTGCACTAAGAGTCATGGGATGATAATTTGGGATGCACTGCAATCCTCTGCCTTTTTGAGGGATTTGAGGTTTTTTGTTGGAAGCATATGTGGCATGACATGGCTGCATCACATTACTCAACAATGAGTTCAAACTCTTCAAGAATATTTTCATTTATCATTCGTTTGCTTAACAACGTCCTGAGAAAATATGTGGTACATGTCTACGCTGAGCTTTGTGTACCATATTAAAATCAGGCAACTGCCTTGCCAGATGTTACCTGACCAATATTTACCAAGGATAATCACCTCAAAGGTGTTGCAAAGCTTGATGACAGAAGATGGGGAGCTCCCAGGACATTCACTGGCTGTACCTTCACATTTTGGGATGCTACCAAGGGAAATCAAGGCTCTTGTTTCCCTCTCATCAGTGCCAGACCAACTGATGTCCTTTGTGGAGGTATGTTCCAAATATAGCCATTAGTTCACATTTTGGACAATAATATTCAGAACAGACTAAATTCTTAGTTTAAAATATCCTCTTGGAATTACAAGCTTTTGAGCAACTCATCAAAAATGAAATGTTCTGTTTCAGCAATCCATAATGAATTTGTGTGGCCTTTTCCATCTCCCAAAAGCAGGGCAGTGGAAAACTAAATTAGCCAATCTGGCACAGCGGATGAGAGAGGATAAAGGTGATATTCCCCCCAGAGCTGGGAAGTAGGTGAATTTCTCCTGCCCTCAGCTGCATCATCGCTTCTTCCTTCCTTGTGAGTCCTTTTCTTGACATGGAATTTGCACTCTCCAGATAATAATAACCAGTGTGAGGAGCTGCTTAAACTCCTTCCCTCACTTCCCCCATAATTGAGATTTGTGGTGGCTGGACTTCAGACTGAAAAGAGCATCTAGTTGTCACTGAAAATCTCAGATGCATGCAATCTTAGAAAAAGCATATGCTCTTTTGTGTGTGTTCTGCGCGTCCGTACATAACTGTGGAAAGATTGTAAGAATTCAGAATCGAGGAGAAGTTTTCCTGCCAGGAGAACAGAGTTGCAAGGCACAAGCTTGGAAATGGCTCTCAGGATTTTTGGAGCAGACTTTGTGGATGTGGGCAAATGCACAGGATTATCTGGTGGGCTTTGTGTGTCTTTGTTGTTATTGACCAAAAAGGAAAGAAAATACTGAGGCTACTCGTTCATTTATAGGAAATACAAGATAAACAGTCCAAAAAGTGCTTTGGTCACTAGTCAAAAGGACAAATGAGAAGGGAAAAATTAGCTGGGTACTCAAACTGTAATACTTTGTTGGTGTTTCTTGGAGGAGCACATTGGAAATGTTGTTAATTTAACATCGAGCATTCAAAGATAGTGTTAATTCTTATTACATCAGCAGGCACAGAATGATAAAGCTGTCAATGACCTAAACTAAGAAGAGAAAGAAAGAGATTAAAATGTCTTACAAAGACAATCATATAGTAATTGTGAAAGAAAAAACATAATCCATTAGCCAAA